GAGCGTTCAAATTCTCCCAAAAAGAGAGGGAGAGAGAGCGTGTCGTTATCTCGGGCTGCAGCGGCAGACGGCGTAGCGCGGATCGAATCACCCATCGGCGGGATAATGGATTTTTCCTTTCCGCCGGCTTGGCCACGGACGAACCTCCGATAACTGGTTTCCCCGCTCTCTCTCTCTCTCTCTCTCTCTCTCTCTCTCTCTCTCTCTCTCTCTCTCTCTCTCTCTCTCTCTCTCTCTCTCTCTACCACGCAGTTTGCGCTTCGTTTGCACTCGAGCACCGAGATACTTCTTTCATGATTACCGCGCAGTGGAGACTGGAGTAGGCTCGCCCGTGAGACTGCGGTTATGAACGATTTCGAGTGTCTCGCCCGATGACAAGCTCGAGATGAAGAAATGCCGAAGCGAAATTTAGCGGAGCCACGCTCGACCAAGACGTGGAAGGGAAAATGCCGAGTGCAGGCAGAGTGCAGGCAGAGAGCGAGCGAGAGAGGCGACAGGCGAATTTCAGTAGAAGAGGGAGCAGCTGAATTGACCGGCAATTCGCTGGCTCTCTCGTTCTTAGCGAAGGGGAAGGATCCTCTTCTGGGCGTGCCTTTATATCCTCATTTGGCCGCCCAAAAAACCTGCTACCTACTTTATTAAAGCCGGGAGAAAGAGAGAGAGAGAGAGAGAGAGAGAGAGAGAGCGAGCTGGAGTCAAGGCCAGATATCTGATAAAGCGTTTCCGAAGCTGCCGGTGCAGGATTTTTTGGAAATCCCATGATACAGGTTTTTACCGCGGCGGCGGGCGGACGAGCATGCGAGAGCTGGTTATATTGGGGAGGCCGCCCAAATTAAGCGAATTGCTGCGAGCGCATCTCGCGGGTATCAAATTTTTCGTTAAACAAACTGCCCGCGCAGCCAGGCCAACCTTCTCGACGGCGATTACTCTTGGCTCGTTTGCACGCCCAGTCCCTCGTACTTGATTTTTTTTCAACCGCGATGCCTCGGAAAAACTGCAAAAGCTTTGAGCTCGTCCTACGTAATTAGTCGCTTCCGTTTGAGGATCTCTTATCGAGTGAGGCCGGCTCGCTCTTCGCCATCGGATTCGTCAATGAAAACCAACGCTAATCGGAACGAATTAATCTTTATTAAAGATCCGAGATTTATGACTTCGTTACAAGCACGAAAATCGAGATGGTTCGCAAGCAAGAAGAAGTGGTTCATATAAGTTTACCAGAATATCGAAAAGAATAAAAGGAGACCGAGATGAATATGGATGAAAGGAGCCCCTCGTTAGTAGCTCTCAAAACTGTGCATTGCCATTCAACAGTCGGTTCGGCGTAAAAAATACTCGGTTAATAGATTGCTAGTATCAGTCAATGCTCACTTGACCAAAGGCGCTAAATTACCAATAGCAAGTAGAGATAGGGAAATGGTACGCGCATCAAAGAAACAGAGAGAGAAGCCGTAAAGTCCAACAAGCTCGTTAATAGCTGTTACGCCACTATAGCGGGGAGTCCATGCGAGCGTGTCATTTCCTCCATCAACGCGCCTGTATGAAACTCATATGAAAATTGCCCAAAGGCATTCGACATTCCGACGAAACAACGTCGAAAAAGACGCCGCCGAAGGTGACCGCGGGACCTTGAAATGGTAACCGCGCTCGCGCGTTTTCCTTTCTAAAGAGGTGAACGGGTAGTAAAGTTGACGCGTGATCGGATTGGTCGAGAGCCGGTCACGTGATAGCGGTTCGTAGGTGACGTCGGCGCCATGCGCGCGTAGCGCACGACTGGACCTGTCAAACCGATCCATGTGGCGCGTAATTATAGAGCCGAACGTGCTCTTTGTGTCGACGCTCTTTCTTTTTCGCCTGGATATACTGCACCTTAACACGTCATACGCGCAACCCGCTCGCCGGCACTAATTATGCAAGACACATGTTTTCGACGGGTTCAATTTGATGGAAATACACGAGTATTAATAGAGCAGCTTCACCCCAATCTACAACGCATTAACATTCCAATCGAACATTAGCCACTTTATTTATAGACGTCCTGCGTGTACCGATCCGCCCCAAACTATCATTATTTCGAATTGTTTATTACATTAAGAGTAGTGGAACAAGAGTTAGATGGCTCGGCTGACATGAAATGTAGAGGCCCCCCTAGCTGTCAAAGTTCGATATCGAAACAGGGAACGTCGTCTCTCTCTCTCTCTCTCTCTCTCTCTTTCTCTCTCTCTCTCTCTCTCTCTCTCTCTCTCATTCTCCCCATATTTCACTTTATCGCGTGTGATACTTTGACCAGCGCGCTAGCACTGGACTTCTTGTATATTCAGAGAATACATTTGTCATGGAAGATCCATCACTTGTTTATCCGATGCTTTTTCTTGACTTCCAAACGAACAACACGATGGGTGCGCGACTAGCGAGCTACAGAGCGCCAGCAGCCCCGCGAAATTCGGCAGCGCGCGTGGCCCGCGATCGAGACAGATGCATCGCGGCAAATCGAGAGCCGAGCAAGATAAGCGAGATGCGTATCGATCCCCGTCGGCCGGGACTGAGGCTGCAAGGTGTGCCGGCCCACGGGCGCTGAGGCGCGCGCACCTGGTTGGCTTTGGGGCCCCTGCCAATGTCGAGCGGCGCGATGCGCGAAACAGCTGCAGGACACCTTTCTTCCCTCTCCCATTATGTTGGCGGCGAGACGACCCGCAGCACGCGGCCAGCCTAATTGAAGCTCTCGCTCCGAAGGCTCTACTCACCCGCACCTGTGCCTCTCCTGCTATGTGCCTCCTCGCCAGCGCACCGAACACAACGGCAGATCTGATTGTCGAACTGGGCGGCTTCGCTTCCTAGAAACACACACTCGCTCTTTCTCTCTCTTTTTCTCTCTTGGGTCCCGTAGATTTCTGCCCTTGTGGACTACCCGAGTCGGATTTAGCTCGACAGATGTCGTCGGTGGCCACTCCAAACGCGAAAATGTGATAAATGCATACGGGATGGAGGCGAATGAGTGAGTGACAACTGAAGGGTCCGCACCCCGAGCAATTAGCAAGATTTTGCGGCTCTCTGCCCCTGTCGCTCCGAGAGTCATATCTACTCAGCTCTCGCAAGGATACACGCTTCTTCTTCTTCTTCTTACGCTTTTCGTTACATCACTTTCTTTCTTTCGCGCGAGCGCTGAAAATGAATTCGACTTCAATGAACCACCAAATAGCTGTGAATTTTTGAAAGTCTTTCAACCAAATTCCCATCGGATTTTTTCATTTTCAATCTCACATTCAGCACGAGCGAGCGGAAAGAGACAAGTGGTAAATCAGCGATATATGAGCAGCATTCGATAATGATGAATTCCATTCCGAGAACACAGTTACATCAGGCCATACATATAGCAGGTAGATCTGCGCGCAGAGCCGCTTCTTCTCTCTTGTCAGTCTGACTTTCGGAATCGCCCGGCTCTGGTCAGAAGAAGCCGCATCTGCGCTCTGGCTGCCCTGTGTTCTCAAGCCAATTTATTCGGAGGCCTCGAACGACGCCCCCAGCGTGCGCGACCGTCTAGATAGCTTTTTACCAGATGTCTCCGATTTCCATATTATATATATGTACACTCTTCTCCAAACTACATCAGTAACTATGTGACAATCGTTCCAATCAAACCCAACTTGTTTCTCCAATCTTATTGGATGCATCGAGCAGAGCCGCACGCAAATTTCAATATTTGAACGTATCTAGTCGAGTGGCTATGGCGTTTTTAATATAGCGCCTAGATTACGTGTTTGAAGGTAAAAATAATTAGCAGATTTACCCACCCAGCCGATCGAAATTTCGGACACTGATCAATGCCACAGGAACCTTTTTTTCAACGAAGCTGAGAAGTTAACCGCGGGATTCCGATGGGGTGTTGCGCAAAAGTAAATGAGATTTAATTTTTGACCGGCGGAAAGCCAGAAACGATCGTCATTTCGACGAATCGCAGGACTCGATCGATTCAATCGACAAGTGAATTCGTGAAATGTATAATCTGACCACAGTTGGCCGATTCGCCTTTTTACCCGCAAGGTGTAAGAATTAATTTTCTGAATGAATTAAGGTTCGAACTTTCGTGAAAAAAAAAAACGCGAGAAGGCAAGAGCAGTATTGGCGTACATTATGTCCAGCTTACTGAATATCCAATGTAGTAGATCGGAGTCAACAGGAAATTAAGATCGTGCTCCTACATGCATATAACTGGCAGGCTGACTGCGAGACCTTGATTGGAAATCGAAGGTCCCGCCAACAACCGTCGATAAATTAGAAGAAATTAATTCACGGCACTTTGTTGTGAAAATGTTGATTTCGATGAAATGTTGATTACAATCAAAACGCGACTATCAAATATCCATAGATTTGTACAAAGATAGTTGAATTTTGAAATAGTAGGCTTAATTTACGGTTCAAGGAGCTCTACAAAATTTTAACTAACGGGTTAACTAAATAAGTTTGTCGCTGTCGTCGGGACGCAACTGGAAAGACAAGATGGAAAAAGAAGACAAATTTCCGGGTCAATCGTCGCGTGAGACAAGGCATACAGGAAGCCTGTTACGAGCTGAATGACAATCGAGATTTTCCGTCTCGTTAGTTTTCCCTTAACACGGTCGCGCCGTCAGCGCGTATGTAAACAGAAGAGGCGCACCGCGTTTCGTAATGGCTTTTCGTTCAATCAATCAATTATTCAGCAGTACGCGATAGAACAATGGACCCTCGGTCACTGGAATTAGCCGCTCTCGATCGGCGTGGCCGAGGCCTGTATGCGCTCGACTTTTTTCCTCTGCGCTCGCTGCCGTTCTGCGGCCCATCGACCTTTATCCGAGCGCTACAGCAACTCCGAGGCGTGGATCCAACTTTCGCGCGCAGACGATTCATTATTGCGACATTAACTCGGATTGAAAATCGATCAAGCGCGTGAAAAAAACTGTCGCCAGCTTAATTGGGCTGATCGACGGCACGGGAGCGCGATCGGTGAAAAGTAAGTGGCCGCCTACCGGATAACTTTTCGCCTGTCGTTGGGGTGAAGTCGCTCGGCCATTTCGGGATCGACTTGCATCAGTTTCTTGTGCAGATCCTCGCTGCTGAGCCCCTCCTCGCGACGCGGCTTCTTGCTCGTCCATTCCTCCTCGCTGTCAAACTCACCGCCCTGCTGCCTGGGGTCGTCCACCAGAATCTGCCAAAGCAGAGCCTCGATGTAATAGTTCGTGCCGCCTACCACCAGTGGCAGCTTGTTCTCTTTTAGCAGACCGTCTATCTACTCTCGTCAAGGATTCATCAATGAAATGAATAACGCCAATCGATAATCAGGTAGAAGAGGATACGATTCTGAGCGCCCTGTTGCGGAAATCGACGACGGTGAGCTCTTGGATCGGATCGATGATGTCGATCATGTGGTGCCGCGCCTGGGCCTGCTCCTCCTTGCTGACTTTGGCGGTGACGACGTCGAGGCCCCTGTACACCTGCGGAAGACGCGCCGAGAACAGACATCAGACGAGCTACTCGAGACAATGGCGCGCTTTTGCCGCCCCCCACGTTGCTTCTCGTCGAGCGCTGCTTCGTCCACGTGGACACGCGTTGTGCCGACTTTTGCTTCATTGCGGCGCGTAACCGTGACGCTTGGTCGCATCCAAGCGCTATTATCACGTGGAAGCTTGTTTCATTCAATAATACAAGGCGTAAGCGAGTGCCGCTCGGTCGCGCCGTTTCGTTCATCTGCGAAATGAATTATTGATGCGGCTCTTAATTGTCGAACAGCGGCACGTAAAACGTTCACGACGACCATACGCGACCCACATCCGCATCTGGCCGTGAAAATTATTAGCATTTCAAATGAGAGGAACGGAGGCAGGAGAGATAAGTTATTAGTCCTGCATGCGCGTGGAAGAAAGAAGCGTAGGTACGAGGCGAACGAAAGCGAAAAGTCAGAGGCATGAACGAGTCGCGGCGCATTCCTCCGTAGAGGCAGCGCTCGTACCGGCAGGTGACTCTGCATTGACATCCAGAGCGCGACCCCACGCGACTCGGCTATCGGGGATTTTCGGCGACTCATTGCCTCGGCGAGTGAGACGTTCTGGAATAACCGCGAGAAAGAGAGAGAGGGACAGAGAGAGAGAGAGAATCGCTCGGTGGATCTGTCAGTGCGCGGCGAGAGCACACAGCATGTAGTAAAATGCAGCTCAGGCGAGAAAACAGGTTTTAAAGCGGCAGAGGCGAAGAGGAAACGGCTCTCTCTCTCTGTCGGAGAGGTGAACGCCGCGGGAGAAGGGGCAGAGCTGAATGGTTAGCTCATTCAGCAGCTTTTCTTGTGGAGCGGGCTCGATAAAACTGTGGCAATTGGTTACGCGAGCAGCTTTTCTCTCCCACCCCCAGCCACCGGAACTTCACCTCATTCCGGTCATCCGATTTTCCAATCGCGATTGGAGCTACTTCGTCCGCGTCTCCATTTTCCACGCTAGCCTTCGGGCCTTTCTCGACATCGAGCTTCCACCTTGCTTCTACCAATTTCAAGCTTAAATAAAGATTATTACATTGAGCAAACAAGTTTAGTTGAACCACGGGCGATTTCATGAATCACTCGTGCTATTTTCGAGAGCAAGATGGAAATCTGTTGCGCCCACGAGGGGAGCCGGCCACACCGGAAAATCAAGATAGAATCCCGTGGATCGACATTCTTCACTAACGACGCGGATCAGTCCAGCGGGCGTTTCGATTTTCATCCTGTTATCTATACGCCTCATCGTAGAAACCGCCTTCTCTCTCTTTCTCTCTATCTCGTGCGCGCGCGCGCACACGTTTGTTTGCTTTATAAAACAATCTAATTTATGGCTGCGCGGCAATGACTTTCAAGCGACGGACGCACATAGCCACGCTGGGACGTTTTCGAAAATTCCCAGGCGACCAACAGCGGCAGCCAACGAACTTTCGAAGCACGCACGAAAAAAAAAATAATAAACAGAGGAGCATTGCCCGACGCGGGAATTAACATAAGAAAGCGAATGAGCAGTGCCAAACGTCGAGCTTCAATGAAAGTGTAAGTGAAGCAGTGAAGTCATTGAAAATCTCGCGCTGCTCATCCTTGGCATTGGAGGCGGCAGCAGGGCCGTTGTTGTGCGCGCGCGAGAAACAGACGATCCGAGTTTCGCCTTTAGCGCCGCGAGAAAAAATAACACGTGCCTTTTTTGGCTGCCGGTGCCTCGCGCGCTCTCGACTTTGCGTGTCGGCTATTCCTAGCATTTTCGCCATTTGCATGTATCGTCGGAGGAAAAGGAAACAAGCTCGCCCATGTCTAGACGTCGACTGCTGCGAAAGTGCCACACGGTTAAAAGAATAAGGAAGAGGGAAGAAGGAGGGAGACGCGAGAGAGAAAGGAGACTGTCGGTTAATGCAGATCGAAGAGCGCGCGCGCACGCACGCACGTGCGGCCATTAGCCTCGCGACTCGAGCTACCGAGGAGAGCGGATATTTCATCTAATTGCTCGACTGGCGCTAAACGAATCGACGCCGCGCTAAAGACCACGCAAGTCGGCGGCGCCCGATCCCTTCGCCCGCTCGGTCGAAAGGAGAGGGGGAGGGGGAGGGAGGCGAGAAGACTAGCGGAGCTTGCGATCATTCGAGCCGATGCGACGAGCGACCGTTTCGTTTGCGCGATCAAAGCCAACTCGTCGCGTTGTAAGAGCTTATCTCAATAGGAAAAAAGCCGAAGTTATACGTTATGCGAACAGATCCGAGGGCAGAACTGAACAGTCCAATGGTAAGGCTCAGGCTGCGTGGGTTAGAGCGATCGTCTATTGCGACGAATCGTCGGCCGAGCGACAAACAGCCCTGAGCAAAAGATGTCCAATGGCGCAGAAACGGCGGAACTCGTGAATGAAATCGTTCGTCGTGCGTCGTTCGTATGGCCCAACAGTCTCCAGAGAGTCTTTTCGGCTCATCGGAACTCCTCGTAATAATAACGTGCAGTAACGAGACAAATCGATTCGTTTAAATTTCAATCATGCTACATCGAGCAGGTGTATTCTCGGCAGGCGGGAATGTCAATAGCGTTTCCACGGGATTGATAGAGAGAGAGTCGGTATAATTGGTCGATCAATCTCTCCTACAAAGCAAAGTCAAAAAGATATTTTTCCTGGTTCGATAGAAGCTAATTCGGTCGCGACGTTCGGCAAGCAAGGCAGAAAAAAAAAGAGGAAAACAAAAACAATGAAATAATGAACTGGCCAAGCGACGGACGTTAGATCGGGGGAGCGAGAAGGAAGGTCAGGCCACGAAAAAAAAAAAAAAAAAAAAAAAATTCCACCTGCGCGCGGCGAATCGGAGCGTACACGTGCGCTGCGGCGGCACTCACCTTGACACTGAGTCGCGTACCGGCGCGCAGCGCGAGTCTTTCGAAATCGGAGTCTTCGTGCAGCGCGTGCGCACACGCGCGCTATCGCTGTCACGCCGAAGCGAGCGTGTACGCGTTACGCACACTCGGCTCGATCCGAGTTCGGCAACCGGTTTCGCGCGCGAGAAATGCCCGTCCCCGCGGCACAATGGACCAGCTATTTCTACGTGTGCGCGCGGATGTCTCTGTGTGCGATAAAGTCGATAAATGCAGGCCCTAATCCTCCCGATAGCCGGACAATTCTCGGTAAAATCGGACGCCGAAATCTCCGACGAGCTATCTTATCGAATCACTCGGATTGTTGCTCACTCAACTTTCTTCAACAGTTTGTCATCGACCGATTGTATTTGCTTACCGTCATTAGCGAGTACGATGGTTCCCTGGACTCCAACTGTTGTTTTCGCTAAGCTCTCGTAGCAGAATATTTTATTATCTCAAACGATGCAAAATACGGAATGCGAAATCGCTATCCTTTTCATCTTGCGATCAGATAAATTTCGAGAAGGTGTTCAGCGCTAAGCTATTACTTTCCTGAGTAATCCAAGATAACGAGCCGTAATATTCGGCTATAAAAAACGATGCTACAGAAATAAATAAATGATAGCGAACGACAGGCAGGTTCGAGTGCGTCCGAGATATCAGCGATGCTGAATGTCGTGCGTCTAGCCAATTAGCGAAATGTTTACCGAGAAGAAAGACTGGCCTCGTTGCGGCAGTCGGCAGCAAAGCGCCGGATAAATCACCAAAATCACATATGTTTGCGTGTTAACAGTGCATATCCGTTATCGGGCAGTAGATCGCAATATCGCGAAATATTGCAGGGAATTTGGCGCGAGCTCGGCAAATAATTTTTGCCGCGGGGCCTGCAGTCGCGTGGACGCCGATCGGAGGACGTGCGCAGGAGAGTTCGCAGGCACTCATAAATATAACGGATAAGATGCTTATCCTCCCGGGTGGGGAAAGCGCAGACGTGAGCGATTGGGCAAAAAGAAGGCGCGCGGCGCGCATCCGCTTTTCCCCGGTACAAAAGCCTCAGGCTCGCGCCGCCTGCTCATATCCCTAAAGGCTTCGCTCGTTTACAAGAAGTCGGCCGCCCTGGCACAGCGCCAGATAGACTCGCGCCTCTCTCTCTCTCTCTCTCTCTCTCTCTCTCTCTTCGAAATCTCGCAAAGATGCTTTTTCACCAAACTCCACTGCGGCTGCGGCGTCGCATTATCAATTACCGATAAATAATCCGAGGCTGTCCGCGCGAATATTTGGCAGCGAACGCTCCACATCTGTCTCTTTTCCAACGAGTCTCTCTCGTAGCTAGCAATTAATACTTGACAAGCGGGCTCGATCCACTTTCCAGATTCCCAGGGCGATCCGACACGCTTCGATACGTTTGGAAAGAATCCAATTTGACAGCTAACACCATACGGAACAATCGCCAAATTACATCACTCGGAAGAAAAAATCTATGCTATATATATATATATATATATATACACCTATAGCCGTTGACTTCAATCGATTACCCAACACTTGACTATTGACTTCACGTTCTGGCCTTCAGTATGACTTCGTACGATACAGTTCTCATCGGTTTCTTTGAAAGTTTCTAAACTCTTTGCATTCCTTGTGTAAGCTCACCGGCTATCACGATCATCATAACGTAAGCGGCAAAAAGCTCTTACGTAGAAAATGCCCTCGGACAATTTCACGATAGGTTCGCGCGCGTTACGCGCCTCATCGAAGCTCGTCTGCATCAACTGAACGAGAGCGTCGATCAAACTGTTATTGGCTTTCCAGCTCTGACGGTAGGTGGAACCGAGAAAGAGAGTAGCGCAAAGGGATCCGCGACTTCCGAGTAATCGCGCGGCAACTTCATTGAGAGATCTCGCGTGAGAAAGGCCCCACCCCCCGCATAAAGACGACAAGCCGTACGGCACAGATATATATATATATATATATATATATATATATATATATATATATATATATATATATATATATATCACATACCTTTCGTTATTTTTTATCGAACGGCGCTCACGGTTATAATTAGGTCTGCAGGCAGCCTATGAATACGTTAAG